CAACGGCGACGTCAGGACGGCGGTCGCCTCCTCCGTACAACCCTGCGCGCGTTTCTATGCCCATTCCCCCGAGTGCCGGCTACACGTCGCTCTACAGCGGAGACGTCATCTTGCCTCCGCCTCACCACGAACATCACGATCACCACGATGCCCTAGTTTCGCGCCCCCCGCCAGACTACCGCCGGGAGCCTGCCCCAGTCACCACGACGTACGCGGTGCGAAAAGACTCGATCCCGAGGACTACGAGTGTGAAGGAGGACACCAGCCGCACACATCGCCCCGCCGCTGTCGACACGGCGACAGCGTCCAAACGACCCATCATCATCACCACCAAGCACACTTCTGGCAACCACACCGCCGGAGGCGCAAGGACTGGCAGCCCCACTCGAGAGCCATACCGCGCGAGCGACGAGGGGCAGTACTACTCTCAGCCCGCCTCCTCGATCAACCGCTCGCGGAGCACCACACGTGCCGCCCCCTATAGCGCCGCCATGGACAACGATGAGTATCTGCGCCTGAAGGAGAGGACCGAGCATGACAGGCTACTCAACCCGCGACCCACCGATCCGTACCGCTCCTCGCGCCCCACCGTGCTCTACGCCAACACGCCTCACCGCACTGCCACGATGGAGTTTGACGATGAGGGGTATGAGTACACAAAGCCGAGCGACTTGGCGCGGTACGACCTCGACCACGATAGGCCGCGCAGAAGCCGCCGCGAGAGCCTTGATAGATACTACCGGCCGACTGTTAGCGTCACTACCGACCTCGCTTCTCGCCCCTATGAGCAAAACGAGAGGCGGCAACGAGGGCCGCCCCCGACAACTTGGGGCTTGGACAAGTTACCCCGAGCGCCTGGCGGGCTGTATGATGCCGCTCCTCGCGCCCCTACAGGTGGTATATATGATGGTGCTGGCACTCGCATGCCCGTCCTACCTCCACCTGCACCTCTTGCTCCCGAGGTATCACGTCGGACAGGCGTTCCCGAAACCCCCAGGAGTCCCGAGCGCCGCACGACCTCCCGCACACGCCCTATCTCGCTCATCCAAGACTCATCAGGCCGGCCCACGCACCATGATGATTACTATCGCAGTCGGGAGGACGAACTGATACAACGCGAGCTTCGCGAGAGGGAGCGCGAGCGCGAGAGGGACCTCTTCCAGGACGAACGTGTTACGTCACGCGGGTTTGGCATCCGAACTGACGAGCCCGAGGAACATCATGAACATCATGAACACCACCAAAGACCCCTCGAGAGTTCGTACCGGGAAGATCGCCGCGAGCGCCAGGAGCCGCGCCAGGAGTCGCGGAGGGAATTCAATGATCGCGAGCCCAGGAAGACCTCGTACGACGACCTGGATATCGTGAGGAGGCGAGACTATGAAGACCTTGACCGGAGGAGCCACCGCGATCGTGACCATGATCATGATCCTAGGAATGATCGCGAATCCAGGGCGGATGATGATATCGTGCGCGACCGAAGAGACGGTAAGGGCAAGGAAACCGCCCTTCCAGAAGACGACCGTGACAGCAAGAGAGACAAGCTTCGTGACAAAGTCGCCGCTGGGATTGGCCTAGCAGCAGCCTCAATGGGCCTAGTGCCTCCCCCAAAGGATAGGGACGACAGGGACGACAGAGATGATGCGTCATCCTCCTCAAGGAGACGCAAGGATGGATCTGCCGACCGTCGTCGGCCAGACGACGAATCTCGATCTCGGCCTAGTCGCAAGGAACCTCTGCTTGGGGACGAGGATTTTGAAATCATTGATCACCCTAAAGAACGTGACCATTCTCGCCGCAGAGAAGACGTAGCCGAGACTGGGAGTGACCACCAAGACCGCAATGATCTGAACGGGGAAGCCGTTGCGATATCGAGAGACCACTCGTCTTCAACGGATGAAGGGAAGCCGACAAGGAGCCGTCGACGCCGCCGTGCTTCATCTGCCTTCAATCCAAACGACACCGATAGCTTGGCGGCACTGAAGGCCCAGCTAGCGGCGCAAGATAAGGAGAAGACTAGGGATACAGAAAGGGAAATACCCGCGATTCGGGAACCTTCCCCTGAGCGCAAGTCCTCAACGGCTCTCGAGCTCCCGGCAGACACTGACTCTACCCCTGGCTCTCCAGGGGAGGAGGAGTCGAGGGGCCGTGAGCTAGCACCCACGTCACGGGAAGAGAAGCAAGTTCGTGTCGTATCTCCGCCCCGAGACAAGGAAGAGAAGAAGCCGATCAAGGGTATTCTCAAACAACCCAAACCACAGTTCCCGGAGGAGCCAAACCCAGTTCGAGAAGGTGTTGCGCCTCACAAAGACGACAAGACCAAAGTGGATGTGCCGACAGGGGCCAGATGGACCAAGATCAGCCGCAAGATGGTCAACCCCGAGGCATTGACAGTTGGGAAAGAACGATTTGAGGTCCGAGACGAATTCGTCATCGTACTCCGAGTCTTGAGTAAGGAGGAGATCCAAGCTTATGCCGCCGCCACGGCGCAGTTGAGAGGTGGGTTGCGCATTTTTCCTGCTTCCGAGTGATTCGTTTTCTTTTGCCATCCCTCCCCCCCCCGTACCAGCCTCCGCCGCTGTGCCTAGCGCTTCCCACCTCGCCTCGCCACGTGGCTCCTACCGTCCTCTCCTTTCCTCCGCCGACTTCGCCTGTGTGGTTTTCGATTTCGGTTATGCCTACGGCCAGGCCGTACTCGTCGACAATCATGTCTCCCTTTTGTTCTCTCATCTACCTCTTAACGAGTCGGGAAGTAAGAAAAAAATGCTGACAACCCCAACAGAGCGTCGCCGTAAAGAGTACGAACGTGAACAGAAGGAGGTTGAACCCGCATATGACCGAGAAGAAGATGAAGACAAGAAGAGAAAGCACCGTCAACACCGCATTGACCCCGAAGATGACAGGAGAGATCGTGAACGGGAACGCGACAGGGAGGCACGACGGGTCGACCGAGGCGGAGATCGGGACCGACACCGTCGCCACAGACAGGTGGACGACGACGACGACGATAGGTCAAAGGCTGCGGAGTACCGCGGGCACAACCATCACCGGTCCCATCGTGAGAGGGGGCGGGAGAGGGACTTGGGTTATGCCGGCGCTGATTGAGGGGTTTTGATTTGATGAGTTACGATTTGATGTGCCAAAAGTCAACCTGTACGGTTTTCGGCCCTTGGATGAGCGTCATGTAAGATGGAGGTTCTTGTTAGTTTAATGTTGGGCTACGTGTATGGGGCAGGAGGTGTTGGGGCGACGGGGCTGGATAATTGAAAAGCATATTTTGGTCGCTGGGATGAGATGTTTGCTTATATATGCTCTGTTCTGCAACCCGCCTGGCGGCGTCTCTGATCAAGCTGTAGCCGCGGATCCCAACCGATGAATTCAGCACTGCGCGTCTAGCCGAGGTGAGCAAGGTAGGGAATGTGTTGGCCGGCTTAGCCCGCCGCCATACAGCAAGTCAGCTTTGGTGGCGCCATCATACATATCTATCTCCTCTACGGGAGGAAGAGCGCTCGGGCTTTCTTCTCACCCTTCAGGCTGCCCGAGGGGGTATCGTCTTGGATGAAGTGAATGGAGCTCGGTAAGACAAATGAAGCTTATCGTCGTGACGTCTTTTCGTGTGCTAGGAGGGTAAGTCGTTTGAGAGCATCATTTCTGATCAAATCCAGGCGGGTTACCAGCCAAAGGCGTAGGTAGTGCTTACCTTCGTTGAGAGAAATAGGGGATTTCGTGAAATAGCTGCTCCGCTAAGAATCATCTTTTCAAGGCGCTCCCGAGTAGTTGAGTGCGTCTTGTATAAAAATACATTTCTCTCCTTTTACAAACACTGGATCAGGGGGCTAATAGTTAACACACCCCCCAACACCAGCGTGTCCAAGAGACCGCATCAGCACCATGAAACCCCCAAGCCTCCTCCTCGCCGGCCTCCTCCTCGCCCTCGGCATCCCGGCCCGCCCCATCAGCCAACACCCCCAAGCCATCGACAACACCCCCCTCCGCGGCCAGCAATGCTCCCTCCTCACAAACCCCCAACCAATCGCCCCAACCACGCCCTCGCCCCTCACCACCACCACCACCGACCCCACCCAGGAAGAAAGGGCCCTCCTCGCCGCCGCCGCCTCGCTCAAGAAGCGCCACGCCGCCGCCCGCGCCGCCCTCGCTGCCGCGCACGAGGAGCAATGGAAGGCCCAGCGCGCCATGCACGCCGCCAAGGTCCGCAGGATCACCGGCTCCGACTACCTCCCGGGCTACCTCAGCGTCGCCCAGCGGCACGCGATCCAGTTGCTGGCTGACGTGCTCGACCAGGAGCACCGGGCGCTGGCGGAGGCGCACCGGAAGGAGTGGAGGGATTTGAGGGAGGGGGAGAAGAGGGAGGTGGGGCGGTATAAGGAGGTGACGGGGAGGGAGATGGAGATGGAGATGGAGTTTGGGGTGTGGGAGGAGGAGGAGGAGGTGGGGGAGGAGAGGGGGGTGTGGGATGTTTGGTTTCCGGATGGGAGGGTGCTGGAGGAGGTGATGAGAGATTTAGAGGGGCTTAAGGAGGTGGTGTTGGATGCTTTGGGGGAGAGCAAGATGTAGCTGGGTGCTGTGGGCTTGACAAGGGCATTGATAGGGGGTCAAATGTTCCTCTCCATTTCATTCCCTGTCTTCTTGGTCGTCTTCCGGACGGATGTATCAAGAATGCCTCGGTGTTGAGTATATCGAGCCCCTGTCTTGCTTTTAGGGGGGGGCAGGAGATATGCAGCGTAATGGATTGAGTTTTGGGTAGCAGTATTGAAGGACTAAGGTGGCCGCTACTGATAAAGGATTCCACGTGGAAGGACAAAGCTCGAATGGAACTCTGACGCTTAACTCCACCGATCGCCACAAAGTGTAAAGTAAACAACAAGTGCGGAAACAAGGCAATTCCACCCCTTTTTTTTCTTAGCTTCTCACCCTGGACAACAAAAACAAAAGGACTCAAAGCACAAAAAGTGATTTCGAATCAATGGCATTCTTATCTGTGATCGCACTCAGGATTGAACTGAGGACCTTCAGTGTGTTAGACTGACGTGATAACCAACTACACCATGCGACCTGGTGGATTACGAGTTCTGGGCTCCATAACGAGACACTTAACATCTGTATCTCGATGGATTATTTGTAAGTCAATTCCACTTAAGTGTAGCTGAGGATAGTGTTCTACCCAACGCATCACATCCTATCACCAGGGGCTTTATATTGCTTCATTTAGCTTCCCATCCTCCTATGTATAGAGAATGGTGGGAGTTTTCATCAACTCTATATACTGATTTAGCCCCTTTTACAATGTTTTGTCTTTCGGACGGGCAGCTAAGAGCGTGGTATCATGGAAACAAAACCAAATGTTTATTTGAGAGATGCTGGATTAACATTTGGAAAGCCCGTAGTTGTGCCTAAGAAACTACATTGTTAAGCAACCACGCGGAATGCATCCATAACTTCCCGAGTTGAGATGTTAAGACTTCACACCGGGCACGAGTCTACCGTTCAAGTGCGCAAGTAGCAGGCACCAGTTGGTGTTAGATGGGTGGCCAGCTACCAGTACTACTTGAAAGATACTGGCTGCTATGTTCATACATATTTCCCTTTTTCCGCAACTGACTCACTCCCGGGTCCTCAAACTTCCAGTACACAACCAGTATGGCCCGATTAGAGATACCCCCCGACAGCGTATTACTTCATACTGAAGTATTCGCCTCTGATGCCGACGGAGTTACCTCCCCCCGCAAACCAGCCTCTATAACCCCAGCCCCACAAACCGAGATGGATTCCAAAGACATCCAGCTGGTGATTTGGGTAAGGTCAACATCGACTCGCAGGTGGCCAAATTTCAGCCCATGCTGCCAGACGAACCCGAACGACACAAGGGCTGACTACGGTCAGCACTCAAGCTCGGGGGACATTTCTAAGCCGGGATACGAACGGGTAGTCAGCTAGTCCACCTACTGCACCGCACGTGTGTGTGTACGGAATGGTACCTACCTACCTGAACGCAGTCAGCCGCAGCACCGAGGAAGCTGGCTGACAGGCGTATCCTAGCTGCTGTTTACTTACAACACGTGGCTTGGGGATTCCAGGGGTTTTGCCTCCTTGGACATGACAGACCCCCCGATTACATATCTTTGGAAGAGAGTGAAGAAAATACATTATCTTGATCGTGTAACGTGTCGCGGCATACTTGCCGGTGGTATGGGCAGTATGACGGTGATATCATGGCTCAGGGGCCCGCCCGAGTGATGATTTAGGGGGGTACTTACCGATAATCTGTGCAGTTGAGTAAACAACACAACGAGGACCATCTTCGATCCCGAAGGAATTTAGCTGGGCGCTGAATCTGTATCACTGTGCTGTCGTTCTTGCATCATGAAAGCGGTCAGGAATGGTAGGCTATAAACATCAACAACCAAGGTCGAGTTCTTGTCAACCTCAACATGTCATGCAGTACCTCCTATCCCTAATCCTGTCTCTTCCATGGCGGACACACATGGAGCACCGAGGATGGGATTCATCGTACCACCGAATTGTCATCGTGCTACGGCAAACAGACGGCATTCATCCCTCCCTCACCATCACCATCACCATCTTCACCCCTATCTGAACACCGGTAGGACAAGCCGGTCCTACCGGCGTGTAACGGGCATACAGTACCCGCTTGTCATCTCACGGTCACTTTAGGGGAGGGGAATGCCCGCGATGCTTCCTATCCGGAGAGAGACATGACGTTTGTCGAGCCCGAATCCCTCACCAACTGCGCCACTTGACGCTGTTCGTTCTACGCAATGACGAAAAGGCGGCTGTAGAATCTCATTTTGGATTGTCTAAGACACCACTGTCTCTGAACCATTGACTGGGGAAAAGGCCACTTGGACGCGGCAGCCTGCTGCGCTTGGCCATGTACCAGCTGAAGACCAATGTTTCACGGCAAGACAGGGGAGTGAGGGCAGTGTGTAGCTGCGCTTGAAGCTCTTTACGGATAGTACATACCTCGTGTTGGGGGATCGACGTCTATGTGCGTCGAAAAACCCGCCTCAAAAAAAAAAAAAAAAGGGGGGGCGGCCGGGCAAGTGAGGCGATGATCAACGTGTGGCACCTTGCGGCGCCATCACGCACCCCACGACGACGAACAGTCTTCGCGCGAGCTGAGCTGCCGTGGTGCTCGACGCGTCTGTGGCTTGTCGTCACCTCGTGCACCATGATGAATTTTTGACAGCGTCGGATTCCATCCAGTCACTCAATGTTGTTAGCCAACATGCAAAACATGTGACCCCTAACTGCAAGTCTCAGGCCCAATGCTGGGTGAGAGCAAACCAGCATCTAACGATACCTTCAGGACATACTGACAGCCGCCTGGCAGCACAGAGACAACGCAGAAACAGGCCGGAACGGCTTCGGATGCCAACCGCTCAACTCGTCGTGATGCCGTCACTAGCAATTCCCTATCACATACGTACGCTCCAGTCCTGGCTGCCTTTGACGTCTGTCACGAACGCCTCCAAACGGCAAGTCTCTGGCTATGTCTGGTTGGATGTCTGATTGGACGGTAGCGTGCTGCTCGCTTGCCTCGTTCTCGACGCCGCGAAGGCAACCAGATGCCATCCGCGTTGAAAAGGATACGGAGTATTTACGGTCCGCTTATTGATTGATTGCGAGTCAAAGCCACAGCCCATCCGATCGTCGGCAGTTATAAATCGGTGTTTGTCATGGAACTCCTCCGAGCTCTCCTGAAACGGTCCACAAAAAGCCAGCGAAGATGCCATTGTCGAATTCGCTGCAGTGCATAGATTGTGTCGTACCTTTTTTAGTACCAACGCTGGACTTTACGATTCGAACAGGCTGTACTTCGGCAGCTACGAGGTAAATTAGTTACGAGTCTTCGATACCCTTCTTTGAAGAAGGACTTTAGGCACCTTTGCCGGTATTTAGTGGCTTGGGAGGTGACACCAGGCCGCCCTCCCCCAACCTCCCCCAAAGAGGCCTTAGCGATACCCCTGGCCAATATGTCCGCCGGCATGGGTTCCCGGCAGGACGAGGGGGGTGGGCAGGGAGCTTTTAGTTGTGCAGCACACAACCCCATCCAACCCTTGAACAAAAAGCCGTGCACAACACTAGGCCAGGCTCTTGTTGCCCTCCTGGTCGTCTCGTAAGGCTGGATGGATAATTATCCCCGCGGTGACCTGCGTTGGTAGGCACTGGGGACAAGAACAAGGGGAAGGATGACGCGAACGAAGGCGCGGAAGAGACCGGTATTCCGTGCATTCGATATTCGACAGTCCTCTGCTGTTGCACTCACGTGCGGCAAAGCAAGCGCCTTATCCTCGACGAAGCTTTTGGCACGAAGCTCTTGGGGATTGTTGGTCCAGCCATCGAAGGGACCTTAACCTTGAGACAGGGGGAAGGAATACCACTTTGGGCTGTCGGTCAAACAGCCACGGAAATTGGAGATGTTTGGCCGAGGGGGGGCTGATGAGCAAGCTGACAGTTACTGTGCTATAGGACCCGTGTTTTATTGTCCAAAACACGGTCGAATATGTTCATGGTAAACGCGGGTGGTATCAGCACAGCAACAGCGCACGCTGATTTATCCGGAACCAGCAGTTGTTTTCATCGGATCCGCTCACACGAGCGATCATGAGCCTGGGAACCAAGAGAAACTCAACCTCGGGGCGGATTTTCCTGTTGCCTGCCCGGCAATGGCACTGCGACCTCGCGCACTGACAGTCACGTTGCGCTCCGTTCATTCATGCTGTCGAGCAAGAGACGACCGCACCGCCATGCTGAAATGAGACACATCTCTTGCGGCGGAGCGCAAACGGAGCATCCCCCTTTCCCCAAGCCGTAAACTTACTGAGAACATTTTATCAGCGCTATTATTATAACGCACGCTCAGTCCCCGGCGCCGGGCGTCGTCACCGAAAGGGAAAGGTCGATATCCGTATGCCATTTGGGTGTTGCAGAGTTCAACGGCGAGCGATATTGGTATTATTCCTGTGGGGCCTCTGCCGGCGCAAAGGGCAAAGAGAGGCGAGGGCACACCCCGTCAGGCCCATGTCCATGCGCAGTGAATAAGCCCATGTCCTTTGGCTGAAACCGGGGACCACTGGACGACGGGCCTGCTTCCACTCCCAGCCTTTCGCTTGCTCGGCAAGCAAGACGCGAAGGAGCAGTGACAGGCGTGGTCGGCTGCAAGGAAGACTGCTGCGCAGCGGGCCACACCGACGACATGCGTTCTCCCGCTGGATGACGATGGGAGGGCTTCATGAAGGTTGCCAGAATGTGAGGGGGTGTCATGGCTATCAGTGCGCCTCGCCTCGCCCACGCGAGGGTGGGTATTGGTGTGTGTACGTGTTCACATCCATTCCTACACCCCGTGAAAGCATGCTCCAACCTTTCTGCGCAGAGTTTAGCCTAGCGTCTGGCACTCAACAACGCGCTGGACGCCGAGCGGGAGAAGCTTCCGGAAGTCAAAGACGCTCGTCAATGAGGGCGCTCTCCGGGCAGCAAGAGTTGACTGCTCTACAGGTTGATAGAGCACTGCTGTGGATCTGCGATAGTAGATAGTGCTAGGATGATTAAAGGGCTTGGGCTTGTTCCGCTTGACCCAAAGATCCCATGCGCGGGAACCCGGTGTGACGAGGGCAGAGTCAAAGCACTTCCGGAAACAACGCCCACATCCCATTGATATGACCGCCCTGAGGCGTCTAACGTTTTGCCCGTGATTGTCCAATCCTGTGAATTGTGTAGTATTCCGAGGAGGGTGGTCCGCGAAAGAAAAAAAAGGGGGGGGGGGGGGGGGGGATGCCCAGCTTTCGGTTGACAGATGAATGCTATGGGCGGGACAAGGGGCGGACATGGGGGCAGACATGGTCGGCTCATTGGGCAGAATGGCTGCGAAGGAATCTGGCGCTGGGAAAGAAATTGGAGGGCAAAGCAGAAAGTGTCGACACGTCCGCTGGAACCTCGTATGTAGCAAGGAGATCACCAAGCTAGTACTAAACGTGTTAGGCCTTTCGGGGCGGTCGACGGCTCAACAGCTGGGCTCATTGGACGGCGGATGCA